TATTTGTATTTTTTTCTCCCTCTTACGGGTCACACTTGAATTTTATGCTTGTTACTGGAGAATATTCTTTTCATGTAATAGGAGAAATACGTTACCTTTTATTTAAATATTCCGTTGTTTTTCCTTTCCTCATATTTACTTCTACGATTTTAAATACTAATTAAATTTTCTCCTGCTCTAAGCAATTACCATTGAATTGAATTGATGTTGATAATCACTATCTCAGAACGAAACTTTCCTTTTCCACTACATAGACCCTATAAGATGCAGCAACATGACCCAGAGGACGGACAAACAAGAACAACTCCTGAATATTGTAGGTAGCAAATATCTATAGAAAATATGGTAGTGAAGGTGTATGGCCCAACCTATGCTTCCCCAAAACGGGTGATGGTGTGTCTGATTGAGAAGGTAATTAAATTTGAAACGGTACCTGTTGATATCTTCAAGGGAGAACACAAAGATCCTGAGTTCCTCAAGTTGCAGGTTCAATTTTTTTTTTCACTTGATCTTTTGCTTTACAACACTTCTTACCTCACTGGGTTTTTAGATTTTTATTTTTATTTTATTTTATTTTTATTGATACCTATTTCTCATAAATCTACAGCCTTTTGGAGCGCTTCCTGTTATTCAAGATGGTGATTATACTCTCTATGGTTAGCCACTTAGCCCCTTTACTATTTTCTTGAATTTGTTTTATCTCGTGCCATGTACTTAAGGATTTGTGATTTTGCTATTTCTCCTTTTATATCATTCATTTTGATATGGGTATTTCAAACTTTAGATCAAGATGTTAGATTGATGTTATGGGGTTAGGACTGGTTATGCTCACTGTTAGAGAATAATATAAATCACTAAAAAAGTCCACACCCTCACTCAATAGTTAATTTAAGTTTTTGATGTGTGTTGAAATGGTTATTTATATAATATCATTCAACACATTAAGATGTATGTTTTGAAAATTGTTGTACGTTGCATCACCTTTATATATTTGTTGTACGTTGCATCACCTTTATATATTTGTAAAGAGATTTTTCCTAAATTCGAATTCGAAAAATCACTTTAGACGAAATCCCAACTAATGAGGGTAACACTGAAGGCAATCCTTATATATTTGCCAATAGTCGTTTCACAAATTCGAAATCGTCCATTGAATATCTTTACCAGTGCTGAGTCTCACCCTCAATGTGAAAGATTGAAGGCCAACATTCCCAGATTTCATTTCTTTTATTTTTTTGCTAATGTAGAATAATATGTTAATTCTAATACACTTTGTTAAACCTTTTTTTACAGAATCTCGTGCAATAATCAGATACTATGCAGAAAAGTATAAATCCCAAGGGACTGACTTGTTGGGGAAAACAATAGAAGAAAGGGGTCTTGTGGAACAATGGCTTGAAGTTGAAGCACATAACTTTCACCCACCAACCCTCAACTTAGTTAGGAATGTTCTGTTTGCCCCATTAAAGGGAATTCCCTCAGACCAAAAAGTGATTGAAGAGAGTGATGAAAAGCTTGGGAAGGTGCTGGATATTTATGAGGAGAGGCTGTCGAAGAGCAAGTACTTAGCAGGTGATTTCTTCAGCCTTGCTGATCTTAGCCATCTCTCATTTGGTCATTATTTGGTGAATCAAACTGGAAGAGGGAATTTGGTAAGAGAGAGGAAACATGTGAGTGCTTGGTGGAATGATATTAGTGGCAGACCATCATGGAAGAAGGTTCTTCACCTATACAAATACCCTGTCTAGATCTGCTTAGTTCTACTTGATATCTGGTTTGATGCAAGTGCCTTCAGAGTCATCTATTTTCTGCTTGCGAATAAAACTGAGCCTATCTGCATGATGCAGAACTCTAGTTTGTTTTCTAATTTGCTTTTGTTTTCTAATTTGCTTTTGTTTTCTATACAAAACTAGTTATATATCCGTGCAACGCACGGAGAGAAAAAAAAGTCGGTTTTTTTTATCTGGTAAAAATTTATGCAACTTATAAATAAAATTTATTAATGCCTTTTATCACATATTACGTACGGTACAAATAATAATCAAACATTTTATAAGTGTCAAAGTAATTTTTTTCAGAATAAAGGGAGCTCTCATCTACTACTTATGTTTAAGTTTTGATCACTATTCTATGAGTCAGATTTATTTTCTACAGTAGAACGAATATATATAAACAGAACCAAATGAACTACATTAATAAGTGAAATTATTTAGGATCAACAGTACTTGACATTCAAATGATTTTCATATCTTTAGTTTAATTTATAGAAGCAAAAACCGTAGTGTAACATCATATCCTGCACCTCTTCGCTACGGTGATATCCATTGGAGTCTCCAAGTAATGAACAGAATTGTACCATAAATTATGGGAAGAAATTGCATGAACAAAATAGAATGTTGAAATTTTTATGGTACCATTAAACTCACAATGTCAAATAAGGTTTCGTTGTCATTAGCAGATAAATATTTGATATGCAAAACATTAAAGTTGCCGATTAGATCATCTATGGTTCAAAATAATTTTTGAGCTCTGTACCCTCCACGTTGCTAAAATTGATATTCAATAATGATAATTTAATATATTGATAATTTCTTATTATACTAAGCATGCATAAAGGAAGTAGAAAAATAAAGGGATACATAAGTGAAGCTTACAGGTTCAATTATGTATGAGGTATATGCAATAGGCGTCGCATCATGTTTTAATAAATCTGGCCTTTTTACCTGAGACCATCACAGTAAAGTTATTAGAATTCTCATACTCTGGTATAAATCATTTGACGATAACATCTAGAACAGAAAAGATATTATTTCATTATTGGGCACATGAAGTACACCAACATATACACACGAAGGCCTAAAAAAAATCAAGTCAAGGCAGCAAACAAATAACTACAAGGTAATTCGAAAAAATCACAGTAAATGCCTATAAATATTTTGGCTCTCCAAATAACAGCATCGAAATTTGAAACAATACAGTTCTAGAATTATAATTGCACCGGACACTTCCAAATGTAAAATTTTGGTATGCATTTTAAAATTGAAAAAAACTACTATTATGCTACATGTGATAAATTTCTCTCCTACACACCCTTCGATAACTGTGTCACCTTTTTCTTTTCTTTACTTTTTATTTTTCAGGTGGTGGAGCCCACAAGTTTATCTCTATGACATGGACAAAAAAATTTATTTGCAATTTAATTAAATAATTACGCAAATATGACAATTTGGGGAGTATTTACAGATCTATTGCACACTGTGACGCCTCAGTGAGGCGTCTCTCATGAAGGAGAAGACGCCCCAATGGGGCGTTACATGTGACGCCCAAAAGGGGCATCTCATGTGCAATGCTATAAATACCCCATTTTTTCCATTCACTCCTCACTGATTCACCTCTCTCTAACCTCTCTCTAACCACGGTTCGTAACGAAGCTCTGCCGACTTAGGTAAGGTCGTAATACCTCCAATGTATACGTTTAGATTACAGTGCTAGTTAGTAATACAGTGCTAGTTAGTAATACATGTTAGGTTGATCGTATATTATAGACTTAGAACATTATGATAGTCACTTAAAAATTTTGTGCCATGCTATGAATGTTGTAATGATACTCCCCTTTTTTTGTTACGTAGTTATTATTATTAATATTTAATTATGCATTAGGGTTTAGCGTATTAATTAGTGATTTAGAAAATAGTGATAGCCAGATCGTAAATTTTGTATGTATGATGTTATTAATGCGGGAGTTTATTCATAATTTTGTAGTCAGTTAGGTGTGATGATTAGTACATATTTATGAAGTTATTAGTGACATAGGGTTAAGTATTCCGTAAGTATTACATTATTTTTGTCCAATGTTTTTTATTATTTAATTACAAATAAATGGCTGTACTACGTATTAACATTATTTCATTAATTTCAATTCTAGTAAAATAAATGACGCACATGCTTAAATTTTTTGATAATAAATTATGGCATTGCTTAATTAATTTGTAAATAAAATGGGGCATTACATGTGATTAATTTAAATGTTGTTTTATATGATATAGTTCAGGGTAATGGCTGATTCATCATCTTCCTCGGGTTCTGCATCGGATGTAGAGCCTACCGATCCCAGCATGTACATTATACCTGGGTCGTACAAATGGGAGGTCCTTCGTAAAAGGACGCAGCGTGCTCATATTTCACAGCGAGTGTGGAATACGGAGCATGTTAGGAAAATAAAGACTAGGCGTGGAAAGCCAACGGGGGGGCCACCTACCGGCGCTATCCCAGAGGTTGTCGCAGACTACCTGACACAGGCTGGATTCATACATGTTTCTCGAATGCGACATATTCAGGTATGCAATTTACGTTGTTTTGTTTTTATTTAATTATTCAATATCATTCGTTAACACGCTGTAATTGCATAATTTATCACAGATCGATGCCCCTTTAATTAGTGTTGTGGTCGAGAGGTGGAGACCAGAGACACATACTTTCAACATGACCCAAGGTGAGATGACTATCACCTTGCAAGATGTGGCAGACATATTGAGCTTGCCTACTGATGGGGCTATCGTCACCGGCTCTACCTCTGAGGATTGGCCCGCTGCTTGTGGGGTTGTATTTGGCGCGGTTCCACAGTCAAATGAGTTCCATCATTCCGGCGACTTGCGTATCTCATACTTAGATTGGTTATATACCCGGTGGACCGACCATGCCGGGGATCATGATGCCGAGATCTACTTCACAAAGGCGCACTTTGCCAGGATGCTGAGTTCTTGGTTGCTGGCGGACAAGTCTGGAGGCAGCAATTTCGGTTGTCGGCTAGTCCCTTTGCTTGGGGGAGGATTTGATGAGATTGGCTTCAGCTGAGGATCTGCGGTTCTGTCACACCTGTTCAGGAGTTTGTGTGAATTGACTGATGCCGGTCGATCTGACATGGGTGGTTGCCATATTCTCCTTCAGATCTGGGCATGGATACGATTCCCACCCATTGCTCCGCATCTTCCTCCTTATCCAGAGCCGGGCACACATTATGGATGCTGGTATGCTTTGTTAAACATATAAAATAACGCTAATGATTTATCATATATACTATCTGTATACTTCTTGATTATGATTGCTGATGTATGTTTCTGATGACAGGTTCAATACAGTAGCAAAGTTTAAACCTCATGAGGTCACTCATTATCAGGCAACCTTGGATACACTTTGTAGAGATAAGGTATGGTAGTCCATACTTAGTATGTTGTTATTTCACATTGCATGTATATTAATTTGTAACTCCTTATATTCAAATTTCATTTTGTGTGTAGGTGGTGTGGCAACCATATATCGATTAACAGTGGCTGGACATGACTGCACACGAGCAGTACCTTTGGCTTGCCGTTAGTCCCCTTATTTACTTTCACACCGTAGAGGCATGTCAACCGGATAGGTGCATGCGACAGTTTGGACTGGATCAACCCATCCCAGAAGTGAGCAGAAAGTTGAGAGGGATACGTGATCATACTCTACGGGGGAAGGTTGAAGATAACTGGAGGCGTAAGCTTAGTCCTTGGATAGCAAGATGGCAGGCCAAGGAGCTTCATATTATTGTGCCCCCTCCATCCCTATCTGGCAGCAGTGCAGGATACAATTATTCACGTTATCCAGGCCAGTCTTCAGATATTGGGGGGCACGGAACCGCAGATGATTTCATGCGTGCAACGATGGATGACTTCCAGACTCCACCGCCACAGCCACATCAGGGAGACCCAGTTTGGGATAGACATATACTGCCAGATAGGGATGCACGACATAGGCCATGGCCACTTATGTTTTGTTGGTCGCCCTTATTGCACTTATGCTTGTAATATGACGAATACAAAAGACGTGATATGCATTTGGTGGCTGCCAATTAGGATTTTTCTCCACAGCAGATATTATACTACGATGCCGATCAGAGATCAAACATATGTTTGACATGTTAGTAACATGAGCACGAATATTAACAAAAAAAAAGTCCCATGCATCCAAGGTCTCGCCTTCAACGATGGCAAAAGCAATCGGTAAACATTCATTATTACCATCTTGGGCTGTGGCCACCAACAATTTTCCCTTGTACTTCCCATATAAATGTGTTCCATCAATTTGTATGACTGGTTTGGCAAATTTGAACGCCTCACAACACTGTCTAAACGTCCAAAATATGCGATGAAACACCTTTTTTCCAGTCACTAAGGTCTGCTCTGCATAAAGGTCATTTGTTTGGATATGATAAAATGAACTTGGAGAAAAGCGAAGCATGTATTTGCACCACCTTGGAAAAAAGGCATATGATTCCTCCCAATCACCGTACATAATTGCCATCGCTTTCTGCTTCGCATACCACGCCTTTCTATAGGAAACTTTAAAGCCATATTTAGAGGCTATCCTTTCTTGCACCAAAGAGATTGACACAGGTGGTTCTTCCTTTATCATCCCTGCATTGAAGAGTACCCAGACTTAATAACATCGAAAAAATTGTGTCTTTACACAACAGTACGTAAATGTTGACATAACATACAAATAAATAAATACGTACCTATGACGAGATTGCTATAACGTCCGCATCGAGCTGTCTATGTCCCTGGGAAATGTGCTCATTCAAAAAATTGTGATTTCCACCCCATCTCGTAATCTTCCAATTTTCACCAAACACTGGTTTCATGGCCCTAACGCGCCACGGGCAACCCTTATCATACGCACAACATTTCATGGATAACTTTGCAGGTGTGCTCTGAATTACAATTGCTTCTTGATGCTCCCTAATGAGGTGGTGCTTAAGTGCCATTTGGACATCTTTTTTTGTTGCAAATTCTTGATTGACAAATAACTTGTCACACAGTTGCCACAGACCTTGTATTGAACCCGATCCTGAGACCAAACCATCAGTGCATGATTATTGTTCGCTCCAATAACTCCAATCAATGTAGGAATAATGCGGAATTCCTTCCCAAAAAAGAATTACAGCTTCGTCACCTGCAACTGCAGATTGTAACTTTTTAATACAAAAACCCTAATTCAGGTATTATATCAGGTGCAAAATTCAACTATATACAAGTTATTTCAATTACCTTCATGATGAATACCTAATGGGGCAGACGCAACGTCATGCAACTGTGACATTTGCGCGACCACTGGTGCATGGAATATTGGGATTTGAGACGCACCCATCTCAGCACCTTTATCTCCTTCGGAAGCACTAGCATCCTCCGTAAGAAGACGTTCTTCCATTGCGATATTTTTATCATCATCGTCGTCGTCTTCGTCGTGCATTTCCCAAGTCGGATCATTCTCATCTCCCTCAGAATAGTTACCAACTGGAGACGCATGAACGACAGACAAAGATGGAAGACGGGGAGAATTTAAATCAACTGACCTCACCGGTAACGGAACATTCTCGGTTGCGGCGATGTCGACATACAACTCCAGAAAATCTGTCCTTGACTGGTTGGAAAATTCTTCCATTGTCATCTCCAGGTCTTCATCGTCAACCACTTGCAAACTAATGTATTTATCACATTGCCATAACCTTGTCGTGATCTGAGTGATACATTGGTGGCCTTGAAGACTTAACTTCTGCCGAATTCTCTGATGCAGTTCGCCAATGGTTGCGTTGCGTTGGATCTGTGTCGGCCTTTTTTCACCTTCTAACATGATACCTCGTCGACCTTCTACCTTCCTACCATTGTAATATAACACAACACGAACAGAATCAGGACGGGAACTCATTCTAAAATAGAATAAGAAATAAAATTCAAATACTAAATTAATGAGAAGAGATATGAAGAGTGAGAGAAGAGGTGTGAAGAGTGAATAGAGGGGTGGGGGATTATATAGGGTGCACAATGTGACGCCACTTTTGGGCGTCACATGTGACGTCCCAATGGGGCGTCTCTCCCTAGGGTGAGACGCCCCATTGGGGCATCACATGTGACGCCCAAAAGTGGCGTTACATTTGTAAATACTCCCCAAAATGTCATATTTGCATAATTATTTAATTAAATTGCAATAAATACATTTTTTTGCCCTATGACATGACATAACTTATCTCCTTTAACATTAGATTAATAAAACCCTTTCAAATTAGAGTCCAAATTTTGGTACTTCATTTATTTATTTTTTTACTATTATGCACACATTTCTTTATAAGAGTAAAAGGTATAGTTGCATACTTTTTGTATATATAATATATCACAATGGCAAAGATAATTTGAAAACTTGAAGAAAACAAACCCAACGACAACCAAAATGGAAAAAAAGATAATTTAAAAAGTGACAAAGATGCAAAAAAAATTTTTACCTGTACCAAATAGTAATATTATAAACTGAGCCTATCTGCATGATGCGGAACTCTAGTTTGTTTTCTAATTTGCTTTTGTTTTCTATCCAAAAAGCTTAGCGTGAAAGGTAATCTTAAGAGCCCCCATTTTTAGTTTCTTCAATGTATCCACAGGCCGGAAGACTAATCTACCAATAAAGCCTTTTAAATAATTTCCTGTGATGTTTAGATCTACAACTAAATAAGAGTTAGGATGAAATCATGATTGTCGCAATTTCATTTGTAACTGAAATTTTAAAACAATAATAGAATTGTAAATAATTTTATTTGAATTAGTAAATTTAAAAAATAATTTAAAATTTAGTATTTGAGAATTAATATTCAGCTTGGAAATTTAATTATGAATAGAAAATAGTGGAAACTAAATTTTATTAAGTTCTTGTATATTCATAAAATTGTTACTAAAACTAATTGTGTAAGCCATTGATAAATTCAAAAATATTTATTTTATTCTTTAAAAATAAAGACATAAATGATATGAAAATAAAAATAATAAATTAATTAAATTAAACATAAATATTTCAAGAGAAAATTAATTTGTCAAAAATAATTTTTTATTCACAAAGGAAATTTTAGTTCATAGATATTCTTTAGTTATTTTTTGAGTAAACTCAGATATCCCCAACCCATAAGATGAGACTAATCTCTTCGTGATTTGGAACAAGAAGATTTTCACCACCATTCCCAAAATGTTTCTCGTAGAAATTGAATTCATGACTTTATTAGCCATAAGGGTCTGTTTGGTGTGTTGTATAAGGTTTGATAGTATAAGTTTATATTATACGTTATGACATTTTTAGTTGTTTTGTGTGATCATCATATAGTATAAGGTTATATAGCATGATCTCTTTATACATCAAAATGATGTATAACTTAATCAGGCCTAGGGAGATGGAATTAAGCCTGATAAGAGATTGATGTATTAACCAGTACAATTCTCAAGAATTTATATATTATTTTAATATTAATATATTAAAATAAAAAATGAATATATAATTTTTAAAATATTGGAGATTTTTATTTTTATAAAAACTAATATATTTTTTGGACACACTGATCAATAGATTTCTATAAAAAAATATTATATGACATATTTGGAAGAATTATATAAATTCTTTATTAAAAGGTATTTTTGTCAAAAATATTTATTTTCATCCTATATAGTATTATACAGTGCAATATCAAACACTAGATAATATTATCTTATACAGTATATTATCTTTTGCAATTTCATGCCAAACATTGGATAATATTAAAATTTAATGAGATCTTATATAATCAAACCTTATACTATCAGATCTTATACTATAGGACCTTATCATATGTTGTATACCAAACAAGCTCTAAAAGCCCTACTCTTGAATTTGCAATTCACTTATGAACGGAGCTACACCTTAAAATCCCTTTAGTTATTTAGTATAACGAGATACTCGAAATCACCTTATTCTCTGACAAATATTTGTGGATTAGCTAATTTTAAATTTAAAAATTTTAAAAGTCTTATTTT